GCTATATTTTAACTGGAAAAGTTGGGGGTCGTCTTATACGCCCAGTCGTCTTATACGCCGGAAAATACGGTATATAATATAAACCACACAAATATAGACAATATACTTCACTTCTTTGAAAATGAAGAAAGAAAAATAAATATAGTTGGTCTAGATAATAAAAATTTGTTTAAAAAGTAATGCTACTTATGCCTTAAAAGATAACCCAATGTGACATGCAATTATGTTTATCATTTATTTATATAGCATCGTTTATCCAAAGGCATCCTAAATAAGTGATTATACAAAGTATGGCTCTGCTCTTGCAATTGGATCTTCCAGTGTTTAACAGTAAGTGCTTAGCAATATTACGCAACAGTTTAAGTCAGGAAACGAAGAAGAATATGGCATCCAACTGAAATTACCAGGGGCCAGAATGTAGTTACACATGCTGTTGTTCATAGTCATTGTATATAACAGGTGTGTATCATCATCCTTCTCTATGCAAGGTACAAGTCATTTTAACTAGTGCAAAGTGGGTGTGAAACCTTTATTTTTCTAATTTTGTAGCACATTACACCCACTGTGCACTGGTGTAAATAACTGCACGAAGTTTAGGGTAATGGTGAAACAAGCCCATGTCCTGAGAGATCACGAGATCTGTGCAGGAAGACTAATAGGACACTGTGAGGTTATAAGAATGTCCCTGCATGGATCAGGACCTCAGTAAAGAACAGGTGAAGATGACAAACACGGGACCGGCCTAGAATGGGGAAGGATAAAGAGTTTGTCCAGGACATCACATTAACCCTACTCCTCTTGTGAAAAACGCCATGGGAGCTTTACCTGTGGGTAGCCCTTGGGATTTATAGCTCAGCTATCAACGGGTGCCTCCAGTAGCACAGCACCATGCTGGCCCATTGGGTCAGTACATAGACGGAAGAGTAGCATTAGCTACATGAGCCGCCGGTGGGGTTGGGGGGGTCTCTGTCCTGGGATAGATTCTCCCCTAGGGAACCCGAGGTGGGGTGTTGGGGGGGTGTTTCCCATCTAGTGCTGATGGGGGCCCTAGCCTAGGAGGCGGGGAGGGGTTCGTACCCCAGTGAGGAGGCAAGGGGATGATTCATGTCCCCCCCACTTCCCTGGGGGGATGGGGAAAGGGCTCGTGTTCCGCCCCGTCCCCCGTTAGGGGCAGGAGCCATTCATGTCTCCCTCCCGCTGGAGGGGAGGGGGATCCGTGTCCCTCCCTCGCTGGCGAGTCGGTCGGGGAGGCTTCAGTCCTCCGGCGGGGGGTCGGGTTCATGCCCCGCTGCTGGTGAGCCGGGGACGGGGGGCGGTTCGTGTCCCCCTGTCGGGCTGCAGCCTCCCCACTCACTTCCTCTTCCAGCGCCTTGTTCTCCGCGTTGGCCACGGGGACGGCGAACCCATCGTCCCAGTCCAGCTCGGCCAGGACCGAGGCGGAGGAGCCGCTGTCGGTGCCGCCACTGCTCATGCTGGGGCGGTGGGGTCCCTGCAGCCCCCTCGGCTCCGGGTCCCTGGCACAGGCGCCGCCGCCAGCTCCCTTAGCAACGGGAAGCCCTTGGTTACGGACCAAACAGGAAGCCAGCGGCGGGAGGGAACCCGATTTCCGGTCACACACTTTCCCCCTCCCTTCCACACGCGCCCACCCTGCTCCCTCCAGCCCCCCCTTCCGATCTCCCCTGCCCCCAAGCCCGCGCCACCCCCCTCCCCCGGGCACTGCCTGGTCCTCCTGTTGCAGGGAGTTCCGTGACCCCCGTGCTGAGGAGGTAGGAATTTGTTACCTCCGCGTGGGGCCAGGAAGGTTCCTGTGGACCCCCCCCCCCGAAGGCAGGGGAGGGGTTGTGTTCCTCCCCCCCACACTCACACACAGTGGGGGGTTCATGCTGGAAAGTTGGGGGGATGCCCCCCATAATGAGACGGGTTTGGTGCTCCCTGATAAAAAATCTGAGGGGTTCATGCCTCCCCCCATTGTGAGGGTCAGAGTCAGTCCCTCGTTGGGGTCTTTGCTCTCCCCCAAGCCAGTGCCTTGGTTTTTTGGTGGTGGATTGCCTCCCAGTAAGAGAGGGAAAGGGGAAACAAATCATATTAAATAGGCGCATTTAGGGTTGGCTTGGTGGCTCTTGTGGTGGTAGTGCCCTGTGGGTGTGGGGTGTGTGAATGTAACCCACACACCTGCTGAGTGTGGTGTTCTGTCCCCTCTAGTGGCACCAGGACCACTTAGAGCAGGAATCGGCAACCTTTGGCCCATGGCCCGGCAGAGTAAGCCCCCTGGCGGGGCGGGCCGGTTTATTTACCTGCAGCGTCTGCAGGTTCAGCCGATCGCAGCTCCCACTGGCTGTGGTTCACCGCTCCAGGCCAACAGGGGCTGCGGGAAGCTTCGCAGGCCGAGGGATGTGCTGGCCTCCGCTTCCCGCAGCCCCCGTTGGCCTGGAGTGTCAAACCGCAGCCATTAACCTCTAAGTCAGGGATCAGCAACCTTTGACACGCGGCCCATCACAGTAAGCCCCCCGGCGGGCCGGTTTTGTTTACCTGCCGCGTCCACAGGTTTGGCCGATCGCAGCTCCCACTGGCCGCGGTTCGCCGCTCCAGGCCAATGGGGGCTGCGGGAAGCGGAGGCCAGCACATCCCTCGGCCTGCCAAGCATCCCCCAGCCCCTGTTGGCCTGGAGCGGTGAACCACAGCCAGTGGGAGCTGTGATCGGCCAAACGGACGCAGCAGGGAAACAAAACGGCCCGCCAAGGGGCCTACTCCGGCGGGCGCGCGGTC